AATAATCCTCACTTCAAGTCAAATTCGTATTATCTCATTCTTGCATTTCTCACTAGAAAAGCTATTCGTAGAACCTAGGTTCTCCTTTTTAATCACACAACTGCCAGAGGAAAATCAAGCTCTGAAAGGTTTTGCTAAATTTTCAAAGGTACTTTAATATGAAATGACTTTCCAAAATGGATGAACCTAGGTAGTGTGACCTAAAAGCCACACAAATCATTTATTTATGGCTGTTATGTTTTAATCACGGGATTGTTTTTAGAGGCTTAAAAAAAATTAATGGTTTTGCTACACAAAAGCAACTATGTTTTCCATGACACATTAGCTGTCACATTAAGACAAGGTTTTATCATTAATTATGCTGGATTAAACATGAGTTTATGTCTACAAAATGATTGTTAAGTAACTGAATTTCCAAACCATCTCAAAATAAAAATAAAAGTCCTAGGAAACCATACATGAATTAAAGACCCATTTACAAAACAGAAAATTAAATGTAAAAAATATAACCTCAATTTAAGACATTTGCAGATAAGACATCCAACACATTATTTCCTCAAAAAGCAAATTAATTAAAATATTAAACATGAGTCAACAGTGCCATCTTTTGGCATATTTAGGAACTAAGTTCAAAATATCTTTAATGTACACAGATAAAAACATTTTAAAATTTCTTGCTCTATCTCCTTTAACTTTAGAGTGTCTAAACTTAAGATTAGCTATTTTAACTTATAAATATGTTCAAAAACTATTACCTTGTTTTCACTTCAGTTTCATGAGGTTGGTAGGTCATCATCCCATCTTAACCGGGTTTGGAAAATGTTAATGACTGATGCAAAACTCCCTCAGTTAAGAATGGCTGAACACTACTGGCTCAAACTGCCTCTTTTCAATTTCCAACATTAGTTCATTAGATTTATGTAATGAGCCAAATCATAATTATGTTCCAAGTAATGCACACATTTCTATATTGCGTAAGATTTTGCAAAACAGTTTTATTGTTTTTACAATGTTTCTTTTATACATTTGGCAAGGAAAGATGTTTATGCTTAAACTATTACATGAATACATAAACCCTGACTGCATTCACGTAGCTATTTACATTTTACAAATGCAAAAAATTTTGTGCAATACAGTATTCTTATCTATGTCGATGAGGAAAAACTACAGTCTTTTCTTTAAAACCAAAAGTCCTTCCTTATGACTTTCATAATTCACACCTTGTCCAAGTCACAAAAATGCTGCTACAAATGAGACAGAAATGATAAGCATCCAATACTCTCCCTGCAGCTTCTTGGCTTAATTTCACCTCATGCTGTTGTCCACACACCATTTTCACTGTCTCCCACTTTCACTCCTCAGTGATGTCCTGAGCAGGGTTAGCAGACCATAACATTTGTCATAGAACATTCTCATAACTCCTTTGTAAACCAGCTAACAATTCACAGAGAAAGGAGAAGCTATTCCCAGTCATCTATCCTTAGCTTTCATTCAACTATTACTATAAATTTTACTCAAATTACAGTCAAATTCTTTGAGGTTTTAAAATCAAGATTAAACATATGATTTCACCATAAGTTACACAATAATGCAAAAAGATCAGAAAGACATTACATGAAGACAAAATGGCCATTGAACTCACCAGAAGGGTGACAGCAGAGAGCCCAAGGGCAAGCTGTGTGCACATCTCCTCTGAAGCCCAACCCAGGATCAAAGGCAGGCATTAGACACTGACTCCAAAACGTACCTGGGAGGCTGTCTGGCCTGAACTTCCTCAGAGCACATTCAAGAGAAAGCACAGCATAGACACGGAAATTGGCAAACTAAATGTGATTTAGTGGGAAGACTGAAATAATATCCTAAGATAAGGACCCCAAAGCTTTTCCACCTTTAGGAGGGCTGGGTGCTCACATTTAAGAGCAAATAGCTTACAGATATTTTCTAGGGACTCATTTCCTTCCCCTATTTCTGGGTGGATGAAAATTCCATTTTGAAAGCCCTTAGATTTGTTTTATTCCCCTAGAAAAGAAAAATGTCATTCTCATTCCCATCTTTATACTGGGCTGTTTATCAATCACTGCAAGTAACCCAAGTTTTGAATACAAGAAATGCTCCCAGACCTTTTCTCTTTCTGGGAGGTTACAGGAACACAAATTGAAATATATAACTTTACCGTATTAATTTTAAAGGAACATCAGAATTTCTAATACTAAATTCAATCCCATTAAATTGAAAGCAAAATCACTGCTTCCAATTTAATAGGAATGGATTAAACTAGACTTCTGATTACATATAATTTGTAGTCTGTCAGGAAAAGTGATGGTGTAAGGATCTTATCCAAGACATGTCAAGACTGCAGAATGGACTTGACAGCCACCTCAGCAGGATGCTACTGAACGCCCCGAGGGACTCGCACACACCATACATTGAACCTCCTGGATACACCTCAATCTTTCATTATTTTAAAGTTAAACATAAATTTATTTCCATACCTTATATTCAAATAAGTGTTTTTTACTTGTTCACTAATGCTCACAAACACCCAAATTCCAATTTTGCATGAGGAGCCATTTTTAATGCCAGCAATATCAGCCAGTGAACACTACATACCCCGACTCATTCATTCTTCAGAAAGGACCGTTATCTTCATTACTGAGGCACAGATACTGTCATCTGCCCAAAATTACATGGCTAATCAATGGCAGTAGTTTTCCAGTCTGGCTTAATATTAACAACTGGCTGACATCTGCTCTTAATCACCGAGCAACAGCGTCTCTAAAATGTCAAAGGTAAAGATGAGCAAGACACAAACAACTCATCATAGGAAAAAGAAAATATAACAGATCAATTACCCTAAAAAAAGGAAATGGAGAAAGAGTTACTTTCTCCAAATCGGGGAAAGAGGTGAATGGCAAATAAACAAGAACTTGGTACCTAAAATGATCAGGTTAGGACAAAAAAATAATCATCACATATTGTCACAATTATCAATAAAAAGTCCTTAAATCAGCATAAACACAGCACCTATGGAATTTAAGTCTGATACTATATAAAAATTCTTTGAATGTGGGCGTAGTTGTGTACACCTGTAATCCCAGTGGCTTGGGAGGCTGAGACAGAATGACTGCAACTTCAAAGTCAGCCTCAGCAACTTAGCAAGGCCCTAAGCAATCTAGCGAGACGCTGCCTCATCTCAAAAAATAAAACAGGCTGGGGATATGGCTAAGTGCTTAAGCACCTCAGGGTTCAACCTCTTAGACTAAAGGGTGCGGGAGGACACCTTATAAACTTAAGACACCTTAGAAATTTGAGCATCAACAAACTATGATGAGGCAAAATCAAGTCCCTGCAGATGTTTGATGTTCAAATCATCTCTCAAATTAGTTGTACCAAATACACGTTGGTCCAGCAGGGAGGGGCAGCATTTTGAAGTACAGCGTAATCCATTCTGTTGTACTTTTAAACCTCTTTAACCGGAGTACACTAGTGCTTCTGAGAATCAATGAGCTCAACATCAAATCCTATGCAAAGGTTACTATTTCCTATGTGTGGAAGTAACAATGATAAAGGGAATAAATACTATCCTCAGACTCAAGAGCCCTGCCTTAATGTTCATATGGACAGTGACCTGACAAGATCTAGGGCAAACAGGGCAACAGAGCAGTGGGCATCAAGCAGCAAGCCAGTGTCTTGAATCTTCCTGTACCTGGCTTGCACCACACATGGCAGCAGGTGTCTGCACAGGATCAGGCTGCCTYGGAAAATGCAAATTTGTCCAATTCTTATAAATGCTAAAATTTTTTGAGGAAAAAAATAAAGCATCAACTACTTTAACAACTTCTGATAATTTTACTATGGGACTATTTGTGACATGAAACCCATTTTTCAGACAACAGTGCTGACCAGAGCAGTGATCGTGTGGTACAACACTGCCATCTATCGTTCAAGAGCTAAAAATCATAGCATCTTCAACGCCATTTCATTTTAAACTGAATGCCAGAAGAGCCAGCAATATTCTACATGTTCAATTATCATCCCTGAAGGGTCCCCTGCCCCCCAGAATTAAAGATGTAAGATAATTTTTAAATGACACCTTCATGGTAACATCTGCTCTTTTTTTTTTAAAGAAAATTAAGATTTTAAATCTTAATAAACTTCATATTTATTCATAAATAAACCTTAATAAATGAACCATCTAAAAAATGTTTTATGAAATCTCCAAGAATAATTTTAATTACTCAGTGATTAATTAAATATCAAGTTTCTGAAAATTTATGGGCATGATGACTTATTCACAAAAATTCTAATACAAAAGAATGTTTTAGGCTGTTCAATTTCAGAAGGCAAGCAATTTTTGAAGGACTAGAAACAACAGTTTAATGCTACATACAGTTTACTCACAAAAATTAACACAAGTATGTGCTAAAGTATTACTACCACGTTACAAAAAGTACAAACCAGAAGTGTGAGGGACTGAAAAGGTCAGGCCAAACTTGATCAGGATAAAAAAATGTTGAGTTCACAAAAAATAAAAAGATGAACTTTTCGCAGAACTTTAGTAGTACAAAACTTTAGTAGTACAAAAGTTTTCATGAAAGAACATGAAAACTTTATTAAGATAAAGTAAGCTGGGTGTAGTGGTGAGCCCCATCCACTCAGGATGCTGAGGCAGAAAGATCACCAAGTTCAAGACCAGCCTCAGCAACTTAGAGACACCCCCACCTCAAAAAGGTTGGGTTCATAGGGGATAGGGCTGTACTCAGCGGCAGAGCGCTTACTGAGCATGTGAGAGGCAATGGATTCGATCCTTAGCACCACATAAAACAAAATAAAGGCATCCTGTCCATCTTCAACTATAAATTTTTTAAAAWTTTTTTTAAAAGGACTGGGTTCAATTCCTAGTATTAATAAACTTCAATATAGACCTTATTGTAGGAATTTGAATCAGTTTTTGTAATATAAAATATAACTCCTTATATTATAAAAAGCCACTTTTCTCACATTTCTGTGTCATCTTGGACTCACTTCAAAATAATGTCCTTAAAAGGTCTTAAAAAAAAAAAAAGGTAAGTTTCTATGTAAATCTGATGTAAACTATATTTAAGAATTCGTTTTAAAAGTACCTTAAAATTTTTTTGAAGATTCATTAGGAAAAATACTGGTTACAATATGCCAATAAATCGATATAGTGTCTTTATCACAGCACTCTTAAGAAACGTATCCATTCAGGTCTATCTGCAGTCACCTAACAATGTCATCACACTTCTGCAAGGTGTACTTATTCCTGAGGCCACAAAGGCCACAGTGAGTTCTCCACAAAGTTATGGATCAGGTAACAATCAATTATGTGTCAATGGCCTGTTGAATCGCAGCATTTTAAGACCCAACTGTATACATGGTTTCCGTTACATTTGCCCACATCCTTCCAAATGAAGGGGTCATTCGTTAATACACAAAACACACCATGCTCTAATTTTCTTACATTCGTTTCATTGCCGTCTTTGGTTTTACTTAGAAAAATCAAGTCTGTTCTCTGTAATTTCCACTTTAAAAATGTCTTTTAACCTCCATAAATTGAGGCTCATCTTCCACAACGTCAACCATCTTTTACTTTGTCACTATTTCCAATCTACTTTCCTCAATAAGAGGGAAATGTGGTGTGAAGAGCAAATCCTCTTAACTCAAATTCCTTCTGAGATCACAAAGGGACTTTTCCTGGCTCAGGCTAGCCATTCCAGAACTCCAGTACAGGATTCCCAAATTTCATTCACCTGTAAGACAAGGTCTGGTCAAAAAGAGGCTGCATTTACTCTTTTAACCCCAGTTGTGTATTAGACATGCCACAGTGTCACATGCTAGAAAAGTCTCATCCTACATTTAGATATCTCCAAATTACTTTCTCTCCCAGATCCCAATACTGTGAATTGTTTTCTTTTTGTCATCCAGAAAGATAAAACCCCTCTGAGACTTTTCTCCTTAAAAGTTGAGAGAATGGTCAGAAAGTCCCCTGCCACAATTCCAGAGTCACCTCCTGGAACAGTGTGTACCTCCACCACCCTGTGTTATCAGATCCTCTCTAGGCAGCTTGGAATAAATTCTCAGCTTTCTACATGAGAAAGGGGACAAGAACTAGAAATGCATGAGGCTTATGAACAACCTTAGTTCATATAAGTTAATACAGGAAGATTCCCAGGAACCAGGAGAGGTGCCAGCGAGCTGCTGCAAGTCAAGCAAGTGCTTTAAATAACGATCTCAAGTCTACAGTCTTCCCATACACGAGAGAGATCTTTGTTCTATATATATCTACAGATATATAAATATCATATAGAATATAGAAATAGAATACAGAAATCTAAGTATATTAAGTAAAAGCTTATAAATTTAGCTTGAATACCCACATGAGGGCAATTTACACACCAGCAGATACAGCTCCTATTTTAAAGCATGAAACATTTTATTTATCTTTATATAACCCTATTATGTCCAACTTTTAAGCCTTAAAACACTGTTGAAATTCAGAAGTTAGACAAAAAAAGAGGGAAAAAAAGAATCTCATGAAAAGGGAAGGGAGACCACTGAGGTATAGAAAACGTGAATCAGGGGGAAGGAAGGGTCAGGTACAAGGTTAAAGAAGAAACCAAATTATGCTCTGTGCAGGCGAGAATGTACCACGAGGAAGCCTGTTACACATGATTATAATTCACCAATAAAAACTTTAATTTTTAATAATGCCGAGATTCAACTACATCTATAAACTGACTATTTCAGACACTCTGCACATGATCAGAGTATAATTTATTTCTTCTATAATACCAGATGGATCTCRGAATCTTATAAGGCATCATCTTTGACCTCCAAAAGAAATTCTGCAAATGTACCCTAGCTTATTTTTGTTTTATTCAATTATTCTCTTATGTGGTGCCAAAGATTGAATCCAGTGCCTCACGCATGCTAGGCAAGCACTCTACCACTGAGCCATGACCCCAACCCCCATTTTTTTTTAGTATACTATTCAACACAAAACTAAATAGCTCATTATAAACACTCGTTACTATTACATATGGTATGATATGAAATCAAAACCCAAAATGTCAGGATATTTTTAAATAACTTTTTTTAAGACAACAAAGTCGGGCCTTTATCCTCAAGAGCATGCTACATAAAAATTTCAAGATACAGGAGTATTTTTCAGACTGTATGACATGATACAATATAATCATGGTGAAGATAAAGGAAAAGAAGTTTAAAGAGCAAGTTAACAGCCCTGCACTAAGATAAGCCGATGGTTTTATTACCACCGATTTCCACAAAAGGTTCAAGATTAAAAAAAAAAAAAAAAAAAAATTCAAGGTTTTTCCACGTATTTTTCCACTGGTGATGACTTTGTATTTTTATTAAGGAGGTGGGGATGGATCAGGCAGGTCTCAGCTGACACTGCTACCTGTGACTAAAAAACTCACTTCCAACTCCTAACTCGGCAATGAGACTAATGTGAGCATGCTCCTGTGGTGCAAATGCAATAGTATCTACCCCCATTTCCCCTCCCAGGACGGAAAGCCTTCTAATAAAGGGTCACATGTAAGGAAGGCTCTCAGGAAGGACAAAATCTCAAAAATGTTGGGCGCAAAAATTACTCTGATAAAAGCTGTTACTATTGACAGATTTCCGTCTTTTGCACAAAGATGAGGTGGCTAACACAAGTAAGGCTGTATAGGCAGACACACCTGTGCCCAGTGTCAGCTCAAGCATGCACTAGCTGGGTGAAGTGGCACAGTCCACTGTCTTCTCCAATCTCCATCTCACTCTAAAACTGAGGTACCTCATGCCAGTTATGTCAGCCGATTCCTGCAATAACACAGTAATGCCCAACACACGCTGCCTTACAACCAAATCAATGCCCCTCCTAGGAATGTATACAAAAATCCTGTCCCCACTGAGAACTGCTCTGCCCAAGATAAGCATAACATGCCTTGAGCTTCTCAATTAGTTGCATTCTAGGAGCTGGAGTCTACTGCTTTCTCACTTTCCACAAAATTAACTTATCACTGTATTTTATCATAAAGGTAAACTCAACATATTAGTGTGAGACTGGGCATGGTGGCACACACCTATAATCCCAGCAGCTCAGGAGGCTGAGGCAGGAGTATCGCAAGTTCAAAGCCAGCCTCAACAACAGCAAGGCACTAAGTAACTTGGGGAGACCCTGTCTAAATAAAATTCAAAATAGGGCTGGGGATGTGGYTCAGTGGTCGAGTGACCCCAGTACTCAAAAAAAAAAAAGTACTGGGGAGTACTCAAAAAAAAGGTTAGTCTGAAATGTCAAGGTTGCCAACTCTGACATAAGGAGGCAAAAATCTGTCACTTTTTTAAAAAACTACATACACTCCTACTTTATGTGCAACAAGCATGATTTCTCTAAACACAAAAGGGTGGCTCTAACATCCTTCAAATTCTGATGACTAGTGTGGTTCTTGGATGTTTTTCTTGTGCAAACTTTTCCATACAGATATCCCATTGACCTCAGTTAAAAAAATTTAATGATACTTCAAGTTAAATGGTCTGAACTAAAGAACATGCTATATTAATCACTCAATTTTAGTAAGTTCTATACCCAAAAAACTAATGTTTACTTTATGAAGAGAATTTTTCCTTAATTCAAAAACATAAGATGCTACACTCTCACTTGACATCATTGCAAAGTATTCAGAAGATACAGGTCATAAAAATGCCTTTAAGACAGTAGATCCTGCTACCATACTATACAATGGAAAAATAATTATGAGCCCGAGATTTACTAAAATAATTTCTAGATTTGACATGGAACCTGAGGCTTTTCCTTTGCCAAAAACCAAATAAACTTGCCTGCTGAAATCCACGGCTAGTTCATTTCACATCTCTACACCTCCTAGACCTGTAACATGTGACAGGTTCAGAAAACATTTACTGAATGAAYGAACTATACGCAACTTGTACAAAGAAACTATCAAGAATTTTAACAGCCAGCAATTTAAAATAATTGTTTTCTTGAATGAAGGGATTCCAAAATGAACAATTCTGACTTAGCTAAGCTTATTCACAAATATTTCATATGCATTGCACACGTTATTCTCTTGTTTATGAGCTAGGGCCTCAGTGTCCTTGAGATGGACTCCCCCCCTCCCCACTAACCAAATACGCGTACTATCATTCACAGCAGGTAACTAAAAAGTACACCTAACACAGCTGTATCTACCACAGCCATATCCAAAAGAGTGATCCCTGAAGTACTCACCTTGGAAGACTGAGCCTTTATTTCACTACTGGGTTAGAAACTGGTGACAAATTCTTTAAAGTAACGTTGTTCAACACATCACGTACCTCACTCAGATCTGGCCTCTGTCCCGACTATTGCTAACACTAAATATACTCTCAAAATATGAAATTTGCCACCAATGACCACACCAAAAATAATCTGCCAGCATCTCCAAAGGAAAAATTCAAAAGCAATAACCAAAGCATTACTGGGAAAACAGTAGCACCTATAAAAGTAGTTTACTTGAAAAACACATTCCTGGAATGTGTGCATTCACAGCATACCTCTTAAAAAAGCAATATTATCTGCAGGGGAAGTTTTACTACTTCATGATTCTAATTTAATCATGTTTCCATGCATCCACGATATCCTGAGTTTTAGGGACTAATATCATTTCTCCTCTAAGTTTCATTCTTTGAGATGACAGGTAAGCAAGCACTGTTTTCTAATACTTAATCCAAAAGTTATGAACCAGCTTTTTCTTCAAAACCAAAAAGTTTGAAAATAACAGCCAACTTCCCTGAGCCTTTATAAAGTTTTACTATGAATTCTTCTCAACTCACAGTAAAAGCAACTTCAAGTAACTACCCACACAGCTGTTCCTTGCAAAATAGTACAAACATCTATAACTGGCAATTCAGAGCTAACTTTGATTTAATTTTCTGTGTACTGTTTTCAATAATCTCTGTATACGTTACACATAATCTACATTTTGTACCTATTTATATCAATTACACATTTGCTATTTTAGGTCCATATTTTAACAAACACAAGTTATTAATTTCTATAAACTCCTACTACTCCATAATAATGAAACCACATAGACATAGGTAATCCAGAACTCATTTATCTAAATAGCAGATCTATAGAGAGCTGCGGTGGAGCTCAATGCCTAGAATCGGCAAGTTCGAGTTCAATTCTAAGTTCCAATACAAAAAAATAAGATTTCATTCCAAGTGCCTGACAGAAGCAATCTGGTTTGTATTTCCTAGGCCTCGGGCACCTGGACCAGTGGAGGAAGCAGTCCTGCATTCTGTTACACATCAGCCACCTCAGAAGGAAAGACGGACTGTGAGCGTCTGCAGCAGCCACAGTCAACAGTATGATTATCACAAACAAGTATAGATAATGCAGGTATGTAAGAGTAACATACTCATCAGCAAAAAAGAAAATTTTATATTCAAACAATTTTTTAAATATTCCCAAATAAGAAATCAAAGTTATGTGTGCAAAGCAAAGCTTAACATTCTTAAACCTATAAGGACTGCTCTTTTATACCGAAGACAGCCATCATCAGACCAAACAAATGGACTAAATTTAAATCAAAATATATTAAGTCAACATGTGATATCTTTTTAATGTTTTAGGAAATTATCTTAAAGGCTATTTTCTTAATAATCAAACCATACCATTGAAATGTGTTAAGGCATGCTCAGAGTAAGAACTACTAATGAATAAAAAATAATATTTTTTTTGTTTTTGTTTTTTGGGGTTTTGTTTGGCAGTAATGGGGATTGAACCCAGCCCCCAGCCAGGCACACTCTACCACTGACCTACATCCCCAGATCTTTTTATTTTGTCCTAATCACAAGGAATCAGACAAACTCAGAACAGTCTACTAAATAATAGGTCAGTTTCTTTAGAAGCGTCAAGGTAATGAAAGAAGAGGAAAAAGAAAAATGGAGGAACTGTCACAGATTCAAAGGACCAAGGAGACATGACAATAATGTAAGATGGGACCTGAACCCTGGAACAGAAAAAGTAGTTAAAGGAAAAACTGGGAAGACTCTAAAAGGCTGTGCAGTTTAGAGAAGAGTACTGCACGAGTGTTAATGTCCTAGTTTATTAATTAGGTAACAGTTATGTAAGGTGGCAACACTAAGAGAAGGTGGGTGAAGGGCACACAGAAGCTCTCTGCAGCTTGCTACTTCTCACGTTCTAAACTTATTTTAAAATATATCCATTTATTTTGAAGTAACTTTAAAGATCCTTAGTTTTCTAGGTATAGTAGCTATCATTATTTTGCCTTAAAATCATTACGTTATGCTAAATACTTGTCAATTGCTGCAACCAGACTCTTTGAAACCTGTAACTGAGACTTTTAATACATTACAGAACACATTACCTGTAATTTTATAGCCATAAGCAGCTAGCTGTCCAGCCATATATTCTCCATCTGAATTATTATGTGAGCAACCCCATGTTCGTATCCAAATTTTCTGTATGCCTGGAATAGTGCTGTTTTAAAAAAATAAATAAGCAGTCTCATTAAGTGTTTTTAAAAAAGAGGCAGTGGATGATTTCAGAGCATATTACACAAAAAAGCAAACTACAATTAATTCACTRGCTGTTCATTAAATGCACCAATTAAAAACCTGTTACAAGACGACTATTCAAGATAAACCAACCACAAAAGTTCAAGAATCTCTATGTTAAAAAAAAGTTTAAAAAAAAAAATTCAGACAAAAACACTTTAATATCTTTTAGATGTTGATGGACCTTTTATTTTATTCATGTATTCATATGTGGTGCTAAGAGTCGAACCCAGGGCCYCACACATGCTAGGCAAGCACTCTACCACTGAGCCACAACCCCAGTCCCCCTGAACTGTATTTTTTTTTAATGATTTTTTAGTTGTAGGTGGACATAATACCTTCATTTTATTTTTATGTGGTGCTGAAGACTGAACCTAGTGGCTCACGCATGCTAGGCGAGTGCTCTACCTGAGCCACAACCCCAGCCCCCTGAATTGTGCTTTTAAATCCTGCTACTGACCATACTACCATTAATTTAACTTCAAAAAAATGCACAGAAACTGAATCTAGCAGTAATAGCAAATGAAATATCAAATATATCTTTTCAGACTCCTTCATATTAGCTACAATCATTATCTATTTTAAAATGAACAATTTAATCAAAATTAAAAACTGTCACCCTACACCATTATTAAAAGTATTCCATCTAGGTGTGATGGCACACACCCATAATCCCCAGCGTCTTGGAGGCTGAAGAGTACAGGTTCAAGGCCAGCCTGAACAATTTAAGAAAACCCCGTCTCAAAATTAAGAATAAAAAGGGACAGGGTAGAATGCAGCTCAGTGGTAGAATGCCCCAGGTTCAATCCCCCATAGTGCAGTTTTTAAAAAGTACTCCATCTATAAAAATAGAGTTTAAAATATAATATTTTTAGGAAGGGAAAAAAGTTTCGTTACTTTAATAATTTCAGGTAAAAAGAAACTACCTTAAGGATGTATTCAGAACAAATATTATAAACTTCAGTCATAAAATAAGCAATTTTTAAATTTATAAATTCTAAAAGCTTAATGTTCCAGACAAAAATAATCAACTATATTAAAACTCTCTCAACAATATGCTGAACAATTGTAGAGCTCCTTTAAACCTTACAATTTGGCAATCCTTCTTGGCAATGTTGCCTTAGAATCTTACTGACCACGGTCCCACCGTAACAGTGGAAATGGTAATAACTCTGTGCCCAATGCCTTAAGCTGGTCTGTAAGTATTCACTACCAAAGATCCAAAACACCTCATAAGAAATACAAATCTCAATAAAAATTCTAATTTAGAAGTACCACAGAATTACATACCAATTGCAGTGAAAGAAGTTTCTATTCTGGGCCCTCCCTTCCAAGAACATCCAACTGCACATCCTTTTCTTTAACCAATCACCTTGCCTTGCCAAATTCAAAGCCACTGAAATAGGGGGTGGGGGAACTCATGTTTCCTACCACAAGTCCAAAAAGCCCAAAAAAGAAACCCTATGCAGATCACACAGACTAGTCCTGCCAGCATCTTGCCAGAAATTAAGCTGCACACGTTTCCAGGAAAGCTTACCTGTCACTTGGCGGACTGTTCTCCTCTTCTGGGAACATCTGGGTATTGCGCCTTCGCACTTTCGGAACCACCTGCCTTCTTGAAGAATGTCTGTCTTGTGGCTTTGAATCTTCCTGGGACACAATGTCTTCTATGTCATCCAGCAGGGTATCACAGGATGCAGAAGGCATCTTTTCTATCACATAAAGTCAAATAGCACAAGCTTATGAAATCTGCTTAACACGACACCACCTATTACAAATTTTCAGCAAACTAATCAAGCCTGTTAAGTCCACTTCAAGTTTAGAGAAAATGCAGGGGATAAACACAAGGAGACGATCAGAAGTCACACCGATAATGGGACATTCCAAGATTCAACAGAACTATTTCCTCAACAAAGCGACTCCATGGAGAAAAAAGTAAGGAGGAGATCTTCAAGATTAAAGGAAAGGAGCCAGGCATGGTGCCAAGTGTCCATAATCCCAGCAGCTCAGGAGGCTGAGGCAGGAAGATCACAAAGAGCTCAAAGTCAGCCTCAACAAAATCGAGGTGCCACGCAACTCAGCGAGACTGTCTCTAAATAAAACACAATATAGAGCTGGGGATGCGGCTCAGTGGTCCAGTGCTTGGTACCACCTCCCCCCCCCCACCCCCCCCAAAAAAAAAAAAAAAAGATAAAAGGAGATTTAAAAGATTTTAAAGCTCAAGACCTCCACCAGCTTAGGAAGGCTGCCATCGTTGACAATAGCTACCATGGCCTCCAGGGCTTGGAAAAACTCAGTGGCCTTCAGGCCAAGCCTCAGCAGCTTCATGTTGTGTCCCTAGGGGTTGCCACTCTCTATGGCGACTGTGGCTAAGTCAAGATAGGCACATGCAGATGTCTACGGAAATTATGATTGCATGAAAGACTGAGGCGATGAGGAAGGCCGCTGTCTTTCAAGATGAAGAAAGATCTTTAAATATAAAAAATTTCTTTGAATTGAGTTCCATGGAAGTTTCTCACTGACCTGTGTCAGCTAAGAAATCATTCCTCTAATTTTGTTAAAAAAAGGTCTAACAACTATTGCAACTCATGTTCTTATTTTATCCAATTATAATAAACTTTGGGAAATAGTTAAAAAATCAGAACATGAGCTAGATATTAGATGAGGATATTATTATAAATTATTGTCCTTATGTTCAAAACCAGTTTTTCTTTAGTTATAGTTGGACTTTATTTTACTTATTTTTATGCGGTGCTGAGGATCGAACCTAGGGCCTTGCACATGCTAGGTGAGTGCTCTACYGCTGARCCACAACCCCAGCCCTCAAAAACTATTTTTATTGATACATATTGAACACTTCAAGGTGAAATATCGGGTTTATAATTTATTTTAAAACACCTCAGGAGGCAGCTAGGGTCGTGGCTCAGTGGTAGAGCACTTGCTTAGCAAGCAGAGGCACCAGGTTCAACCCTCAGAATCATGTAAAATTGTATTGTATTGTGTCCATCTACAACTATATAATATATATATGTCCACCTCAGATTTTCTTCAGGGGGGTAAAAAAAAAAAAAAAAAAAAAACAGATTAGCCAGGGGCATTGGCATATGCCTGTAATTTCAGCAGGAGGCTGAGGAAGGAGGATCACAAGTTCAAAGCCAGCCCCAGAAGCTTAGTGAGACCCTAAGCAACTTGGTAAGGCCTTGTGTCAAACAGAATAAAGGGCTGGGGATGTGGCTCAAGTGGTTAAGTGCCCCTGGTACCAAAAAAATAAAACGTTAAAAACATTTGTAACTCTTAAAATTAGAAAATAGGTAAGTTTCTTCTGTTAAATGTTATTTTACTTTTTATACCTTTATTTCACTTATTTATTCTTCTGTGGCGCTGAGGATGAAACCCAGGGCCTCACACATGCTAGGCAATCACTTTGCCACAAAACTACACCTGCAGCCCAACAACAGCTATTTGGTATTCATTAGCTCATGATACCTGATATAATGAATACCAAATTCTTCAGAATTAAAGATGTGGACACAGCTTCCAGGTAGACACACATTCCTCACACAAAGCACAACTTTGGAATCATACGTCAAAGAAAACATGAGACTTTGAAAGGAGAAAGAAGGCACACTGGCTAGGGAGCTCAGAACCCAGGAAAAGGTCAGCAAGTTCTTTGGGTTCTTTTGCCTCCTATATCCAAACTTGAGCTGAAGCAGCCAGCAGTCCAGGATGCCCACAGGTGCAGACAAGCAGGTCCAACAAGTCGGCCTCTCATCAGGAACAGAAGAGGGGAAGCTTGGATCATCGCCGCTCTCCCCCAGCCTCAGCTACACGCACTGTAGTCCCACCCGCAGGCAGTCATAGGGTCAAGTGGGGAGCCCGACTTTCCCCCTACACGATGCCCTGACATGCCCCACGAGAGTACAGTCACAGAAGGCCAGGCAGGGACCCCAACTTCGGAACCAACCAACAACGAGGCCCACAGTTGTCAGTGTAGACCAGACTGGAATGCGAGTCTGGAGCCCTTCACAGGGTCAGCGCAGCAGACAGCCCAGGAGGCACACGCAGCACTAGCCTCCCTCTATGGGGAGCAGGTGGAAGCGGAGGGGGCTAATCTGCCCACAGAAGACAAGGGCTCCCACGTGGGATGTGTCCACGCCTACCCACCGCCTGCTGACCTGTTCTCAGCTGTGTCACTGAACGAGCATCCAGAGCCTGTGTTCTCAGGCGCCTCAAGCCTTTCTGAAGGTCCCTTCTCTTCACACCAGATTCCCATCTTTCCATTCATATCACTCAACTAAGTGGCTTCCAGCCAGGCTCATTTTGTGCCCTTTGTAAAGAGTTCTTTACCACAAATTATGTGCTGTCCATCAGACAAACGAGTGTTTGAAACTCATCTAGTTTTATTGTAAGAAATAACCCAAATGTCCACCGTTAGGCCTGGATGTAATTAACATACATAATCCATGGTCAAAGTAGGACTGTCAATCCCAGCCCTCTCCTTCCCTAGAGCAAGACAAAGCACAGGACCCAAGCCCCACTCCGCCAGTCACCTGTCTCCTTGGCCACAGTGATCGGCTCAGGCTTGGTCAGGACAAGCCCAGCCAACCAGAAAGGACTGCAAGGTCTTCTGAGCCACAGCTGGTAGAGATGGCTTCTCTACTCCTTCAAGTGGCTAACCTGGAAGGATGTCAACTTTGGGATCCCAGAGGCCATCTTGCCTGCCACGAGGAGGAAGCCTGGAGAAGGAACAAAGCCTAATAGGAGGCAGGGAGAGAAACAGCCCTACTGAGGCCATTTGAGCACCTGGACCCAATCAGTGCTTGAACCCTGGTGCAGCCCACTTCTGCCCACCACGTGAGCCACTAAATTCCCTGGGGCTTAAATTAGTTTGAGTTGGGCTTCCTGGTCTTGCAAACAAGAGCCCAGGTACAGCCCAGGTAAAGTGAAATGAACCAAGTTTCAGGCTTTTTTGTTTAATATTTTTYAGTTGAAGATGGACACAATACCTTTATCTTTATGTGGTGCTAAGGATCAAACCCAGTGCCTCATGCGCGCTAGGGGAGCGCTCTTCTCTTGAGCCATAATCCTAGTCACCAGTTAGTCTTTACCAAGTTACTCTTGAAGTCACTCTGGGAAAAAAGTCTTCAGCGGAATTTGGGAAATTCTGCTTCCTTTTATATGCACTGTGTACTGATTAACAACTGTGAAGAGCTGCAGTGAGGAAACTTTAAACTCATTATCTTAGGRATTTTCTAGGATTTCCTTTCTTACAGATCTCCTTAGACTGAAAGATGGCACTGAAACTGCAGGCCCGACTGGCACAGCCCGTCCACGCCCTGCCCCTGCACAGACGGTGCCTCCTGCCTTTACTGGGACGCGGTCTGTTCACCCCAGCACTCCCCCTTCCAACCGCTACTCCTGAAGGCAATCCTTCCACTCTCTGGGCCAGCCCAGACTCCAGCGTGCTCCCTCTCCCCATCACTGATGGCCTCCATGGAATCTAGCGATGCACACTGTTTCTACTACCTCTCTCATTGARAAGACAATAAATCCCTCCCATGGACCCACTCCTCCTCTCAGCTCGCCTTTAAAGAGAAGCTCCCTGTATTTACTGTCTCCAATTTCCCCCTCCCATTCTCACGGACTCACACCCACCACTAGGCCCTCAGGAAACCCTCCAATGACACAGACCCTGACCAACACTCAGCCGTCTGATGAGACGCCATTWGTGGCATCTGCAATACCGACCACTCTCACCTCAAGGCGCTCTTCTCCACGGCCCCAGGATGCCCTTGCCTCATCTCCTCCTCCAGGGCCAGCCTCCAGGGGCTGCTGGCTCAGTCCTCCTCTCCCCCGGGACGCCCATGGCTCCCTGACAGGAGCGCTTCTCTGTTTACAGGCACTCCCGGGTGATCTCATCCCGTCCTGTGGCCTTGAAAGACCCACTGTGTGCTTACATAACAGCCCGCTCTTCCCACTCAGATGTCCGACTGCCTGCTGGACATCCCTGCCTGAGTGTCCATCAGCCATTTCAAAGTTCAACAGTCAGCCAGGACTTCGGCTCTCCAGGCTTCCCCCACCCCGACGGCCCCACCTCCTCATACCTCACCCCAAATCCAACCCACCAGCAAAATCCTATTGGTGTTACCTTTAGCATCTACTCAGAATCCACCTGTGAGCACAGCCCTGTCAGTCACTCCTGCCTGGAGGGCTCTTCCYCCACAGCCGAGTCCGCTCACCCCAGCCCCTCACGTACAGCGAGGCCTTTGCAAGCCACCCTCGCCAACTTCCCATCCCTCCCCATCTTTTTTTTTTAACCACATACTTCATCACCTGCTTACGTGCTTTTGCTGCCTCTTTGTTCTAGAATATTTACTCGTGGGGGTAAGGGCTTTTGCATGCTTTGTTCACAGCTTTATCTCAGGAGCAGGCAACTATATCCAGCACCAGGTTCTAAATATTTTAGTGTAGACAGTTTTTTCAAGATATGGAGCTGGCTACCTCCCTCTTCCACCTCCCACTATTTCAAGTTTGGGGGGAGGTACTGGAGATGGAACCCAGGGGCACCTCCCAAGCCCTTTTTGTAATCTAGAGACAGCCTCTTTCCAAATTGCTAGGTGCCTCCTTAATCTGCTGAGGCTGGCTTTGAACACATAATCCTCCCGCCTCAGCCTCCCAAGTTGCTGGGAGAAGAGTCGTGAGCCACCGCGCC